CTGCTGAATGTTAAGTACTGAATTAAGAAAGACTGAACATTTTCATTTTCCCTTCCTTCCAGATAGAACTTTTTAAAAATCTCTGAGCAGAGTTTTTACCATACATGCACCTACTCAGAAATGAGCATTTTTCTCATGTGCTTTGAAGAATCCTATTGGATTTGTGTTTGAGAGACTTGGGAAACACAATGTGGAAAGATCCTGCAAGCTAAACCAAATGAAATTATATAGCTGAAGGAAGCCTGGGAAAGAAGATTGGTTTCCTTGCCTTTCCCTCTAAAGTAGCGTTGAAAAATCTTTATGCTTCTCTCATCATTACTCCATAAATGTCTTCCAGTGAGACCTCTCCTGTATGGAGCATAGAACTATCACTATCGCTTAGACTTAATTTACTGCCCCATACTGTTCATTTGGATTCATTCTTTGTCTTCCTTTGGTGGCACTCCAGTTGTTGCTTCTAATGTTTCATGCTCTGAAGGTGCACCCGGGGATCAATGTACAGAAATAAGGCTACATAAAAACAATCCAGACCAAGGCCTTGGTAATCCTCCTGTTCCAAGGCCTTGGTTGGGCTTTCCATCAGGTCCTCGGGAAACACCATAAGCTTTTCTTTAGAAACCCAACAGGATCCATCTCCTGGAACTAACCAACTGAACAAAACCCAACTTTCCATAGCACCAGCAAGCAAAGAGAACAGCCAGGCAGTAATCTCTCTTCAGCAATGGTAATATATCCGCCAACGTCAGATCACAGCTGCCCTCAGATAAACTACAGCTCTAAAATTCAGTCCCAATAACAGTAGGCCTCTGTCATTTGGGACAGGTCCATGGTTGCCACAGAAATAATGAATCCTGTTCAACTAATGACATTCATTCTATTTTTTATATCTATTATAACATATTATAACACTGTTTCTGCATATGGCCATTGTTACTAGAAGATCCTGGGACAGTGATGGCGAACCTTTTTCATATGGCGTGCGCATGCCCACTCAATTTCCACACACACACGCATGCGCGTGAGACCCCCCCTCCCATTCATGAGTGTGAAAAAGCCCCAGGGTCCGGAGGCTCTCCTCTTGGGCCTTCCGGTTGGGCCATTGGGGTCCTTTTTCCCACCCACCCCAGCCTCCGTAGGCTAAACTGAAGCCTGGGGAGGGCGAAAAGGGCCTCAACTGGCCCTCCGGAAGGGCAAAAAAATCAGCTGCCTGGCACACACATGTGCACCGGAGCTGATGGCTGGCCTGCCACCCAATATGGCTCCACATGCCACCTATGGCATACCTGCCAAAGGTTCGCCATCATGGCCCTAGGATGCATTAAGACTACTAACTTTACAAACCATATGAACATTAAAAGAAACTTCAGAATACCAGTTTGGAGACTTTATATTCAATTCTTCACAGTTCTTGGCAGGCCTATGAACTATACTTGGAGCTCAAAAACTTAGTGAAAAGGATGAGCGATATCAAATATGATGGATTTGAATAATTTCTCATAAAAGAATAGTCTTGTTATGTCGGGTTCATGCACAACTTAAAAGCAGAACTGTATTAATCGGTTCTCTGCAAAAGTCAAGCCTCAAATTGCAGACAAAGAGCTTCTGCTTGCAAGAATATTACATCATCAAAGCCTTCCATGAACATTCAGAAAATAAGCTGTACTTCTGTATGGCAATGAAGCAGCAAATTGGATTCTCATAATATGTTTTGAAAATGAGTCTTGTTAGGTTTGATGAGGTGGAAAAGGTATTGAGTTCACTGGTTTGTTCCAATATGTTCAGTACACTTTAGTTGGCTGTTTGCCACAACTAATCTTTTTAATGGCGGTGTAGCTTGTAAACCCATTTGGTAGAGAGCTATGCGTCTCAGTCTTAGAATATCACACCAAGTAGGGTGGTAAATAAGTTTCTCTTCAAGCATGAAAGCATTTGCTGTTTCAATTCCACAAATCTTATTTTAAAACGTTCACCTTGAAAGCCTTGATTTCTTTCGAATCTAGCAACAAATAGAATATTTTTCCATATGCACTTAATCCTTATACTTTCATTGTTCTATTTTTCAAAATGTGCCTCCCCCGATTATCTTTAGTTTTCATATAAATTTGCTGTGTAAACACTTGCTAATATAAATATGTAGCATTCCTTAATGTAAACCTGGATTTAATTTTTATTTATTTGAAACATTTAATTATTTTATTTAAAATTTTAAATCCTTCAGAAGAGTTGAATAATCATTATTCAAGAATGATATTGGCCGATAGTTTCCCGTTAAAGTCAAATCTTGGCCCTCTTTAGATATTAATTGGTACAAAGGACCCGATTTGCATATGAGGGCTCAATTAAGCTGATTTATTGCTAAAAGCTTATGCATGGGAATCTTCTCAACTAATGGTTAGCGCCTGATTAAAGTTAGATGAGAGGAGGCTAGGACTGAGTTTGCTTGTGACTATGTAGGGATTCTAGCTGATCCCCCTTTTCACTCCACCCTCAGGTTCTGCCATTCCTTCTCCTACATTAATCCTATTTTCGCCTCTTTCCAGCTGTCCGGCAACTTTAAAATTCTTTTAATTTCTTTTTACATACTTTTATTTCCTTACAGCATTACATTTTACTTCCTTCTGAAGGAACTTATTTTCTTTTTACAACCAAACTCACTGGATTATCGTCTGAAAAAGTCTTTGACAATATCTCTGCTTTATGAACATTAGTAACCAAACTCTTTAAAATTCAAATCATTACTCTTATTGAAAAATAACTGTGTTTTCCAGAAAAATTAATATATTCTTTTGAATTGCCAATTTGTGTCTCCATATATTGACAAGCTCTGAATTAAGTCAAGTCATACCAAGTCAAAGAAAACTTTCTGTAGTTTATCCTGTGTAATTTTAATATTTCTCTCAGAAGTTCTTTCTTCTTATGGCAAAACCACTCCCTTCCAACACCAAATTTCATTAAAATGTCCATTAATCTATCCATAATTTTTTTTTATAAAATGTTACTTTGTCCTTGTTTCGGGCATAAATTCCAACCCTCAGAACCTCATGCAAATTATCTTCCGCCCCAATATAGCAACCAGATTCATCAGTCAGTGGAGGTTCCGGGGTAGCTAGGAGTTAATATACAAAACAACTTCATGTCCTTCATTGAATAAACCCATTATTTGCTATGGGGCATTTTGTGCCAGAAACTGGAAGTAATGCTGACTTCTGACAAAAATGACATAAATTGCAGTCCTGTGACCTTGGATGCTCCAAATGGCTATGAATGTAAGCATGTTACCGAATGCCCAAAATGCAGTCATGGGACTCCAGGTGGGGGGAGGCGAGCATCGGGACTTTGCATCCAGATCATAAGTATTTTTTTGGTGATCTGTCATAAATTTGAACAATCACAAAGCGCTTGGTTGCAAGTCAAGAAATATTTACAATACAACTTGATTTAAATTGAATAAAGACAAAATAATATAATAAAGATCTTGATCTAAAACTGAAAAATGTGAGAGAGGCTGACATTTTGATAATGCAAGTCTCTTTGCCATGAAATTCCTGAATGTAGATTTGGTGAAAGCCCAAGGTGTGCAAAAGGGTTCCAGAATAAAGCTAAATGTTAGTGTTGCAAACTTTCAAGCCTTCATATGTTCTTCGCAAGGAATTCATTTTGTAATACAAAATAAAATTCAAGTAAAATAAAATCACGGTTTGATTAAACTCTATATGATCTGTTATTCTCTAAAAACCAGGAAGATGTCATTTTAGATTTCAAATGCTTTTTATTTGGTCTTTCTGCAATGCAATTTCCTGCCTTTTTTTCCTGTTAAAATAAATTTTAGCATTAATATAGCAACTTAAAAGTGCGTCATGTTTTCTACGTCTACTTCAATTTATAAGTTGTTCTCATAAGTGAAAAGCAGATAAAGCAAAACATAAAAATTTATTAAATATGTTGGAAACTATTTCTGTGACGTTGTTAAAGCTTTGCCTTAACTTTTCTTCAAAAGATTTGAAAAATGTGCATTTGATTGTACATCCTGAAAATAAAGATCAGCAATTTTTTTAAAGAAATGTAATGTCACAATTGATTGCTGTGTATGTGAACTCTGAATAATGCTGCCTGAGATCATAGACCTACTTACAGCCCCAAAACATCCTGCTTTGTGTGCAACACACACACACACAATCTTTGTGACCCAACTGCTAAAATTCAGCGGTATTGCTTATTGAAATGGTAACATTAGAGTTAATGCTTAAAAACTGGCTTAACATAGGTTTTTTTTTAAAAGAACTACCCAACCATCCCTTTCAGTTTCAAGGCAAAAACCAAAATCTCTATTATGCCCGTTTGAATAACTTTACATGATTCCAATGTTTCCTGCACTCCACGGCCTTTCCAAAAATGTTTGTCAGGTACCACAAGGTTGTCCTCTCCTTGCCTAAGAAATAAAGAAAAGAATTAGCTGCAAATAGTGGGTGAAGGAGGAACCTGTGGAAGGTCCTCTCTGGCAGGCTTTGAGGGATTGAAAGTTGCCAAAAATCAGCCAATGTTTACACTCTTAAAATTACCTTCTGATTTTAAGGACCATTTTCCCTAGTCTCAAATTCATGCTACGAACCTCCCTCCAGTAACCCCCATGTGTGCACTTTCCTGTAGAGAGATAAGCTGCCCGAAAGAAAGGAAAACGCATGGGGCCCAATGGCCCAGACTCAGCAGCTCCATCCTGTCTGGCGTGTTAAAGTACCCTTTTCTGTCTTGTGTGGGTTGTATTGGTATGTTGCATTTCCATAGCGGCAGACTTTTTGTTTATTTAAATAATCTGAAATAGTGCTGAACATTAAGAGAGTTTAAGGTTGGGGACTGAATAGTAAATGCACTGGGAAACATTTGTATATTTACTTGGTTTTTATAGGGCTTAATAGAATGGAAGGCGGATAAAGATGTCTTGCAATTAAAAGGACATAAATTGCTAACAGATATTCCGTCTGTTTTCTCCCTCTTTTTCCCAG